TCTCGGATAAGGAAAATCATGTTGATCTAAGAACCGTAGTTTTAGTACCAATGAGTTACTCATGCTGTCCTCTGCAGTGAGATTTTACAACTCCTGCAGGAAGTAGTATTTTGAGATTACCAACGAAGCAATTATACTCCAATATTGAAGTTTTTTTTTTTTTTAAAGATTTATTTATTTTTATACAAGAACCAGGGTATTGGCTAGATGCACGGGAGGGTGAGAGGGTTCACTGGAGACAGAGCGGGGAACAGAACAGGCAGACTGATGAAACACACTGCTGAGGAGAGCAGCGGGTAAGACAGGAGAGGTCTGCTTCACCATGTGGGATTCTCGCTAGCCGGCACAGATCGAACCCGTGCTGCAGAGGCCGCGGACAGCTTCCCAGTGCAGCGCTCAACCACCTGCACCACCAGGAAGCCCTCGAATATTGAAGTTTTAAGAAAAAAGTATATTTTCTGAAACAGTTCAATATATCTAGCTTTAAGATTCTTTTTTTTTTAAATAGAGGCATGTTATTTATTTATTTATTTGTTTGTTTATACATGCACTGGGTACAGTCAGAAGCGCGGGAGGGTGAGAGAATTCACCAGAGCCAGAGCGGGGAGCAGAGCAGGCAGAAGGACTGAAGTACACTGCTGAGGGGAGCAGCGGGCGGCAGGAGAGGTCTGCACGCCACGTGGGACCCTCCTCCAGTGGCCGGGGAGCAGCTGGGGATTGAACCTGCGCCGCAGAGGCCGCGGGCAGCTTCACAAACCAGCGCTCAACCGCTGCGCCACCGGGGAGGCCCTAGCTTTAAGATTCTTAGGGACATGTGGAAACCAGAAAGAGAGAGAGCAAGAAAAGAAAGAGAATATGCTGCAAACTGCTTCAATGGCTTAAATCTTGTTTTTTTTCTTTTATTTGCTCATATTGAGGGAAATGTGAATTATCTTACATACTTCTTACTACTTGTGTCTTTGCTATATTTCTTTAATTTTTGGTGGATAATTCAGAACTCTGGAGTTTTTTTTTTTTTTTTTTTTTTTTAATTTTCTTTTGTAGTAACTATCATTAATCCCCGGGGAATTTCATTGCACTGACTTACCTATTTTCCTGCCAACCTACATTTATGTTGGTTTTTACCATCTTTGTGCCTTTTACAAAAGCAAAAGGGTTAGCATCTGCCCCTGTATGTGTAAGAAAAATATTCAAGAATATCACTTTATTCTAATACTAATTCAATAAAATTAACATATTCAAGATGGCCAAATTTTAACAGTGCAGTAGTGAAAATCCCGAATTTTAAAGCCTACATGGATATTGCTAAAAATAGGGACACCTGATGGAAATAGAAATGATTAAAGATGGAGTTTGAGGTTATGTTCATTGGTAGGCTAAGGAAATTGAAAAAATTGGAATCTGTTGTAAGAAAAGTGATTATTTGGTAAGTATACTTCCAAGAAGTATAGGCTTATTTATGTATGCTGGACATTTGATTATCTGAATTGTAATATTAGATTGGTGACTATAAGAGAAGAAAGAAGACTCTTCTATAAAGGAGATGTCTATAGACATAATCCTGATCCTATTGGATACATTTGTTAATGTAAAAGTGAAATATAAGAAAACTATTTTCAGTACAACAGAGATTAGATGGTCTTCTCTGGGTTGGTGATGTGAGGAGTTCATAAATATAGGAGAGTCTGATACAGTTAACCTCCTTAATGTCTGTTAAACAAATCATTCTTTGTTGTCTAAGTTAACACTCAAAAAAAATCTGAGATTTGTTGTTATTATCTCCATATCACAAACAAAAATCTATATGGACTTAAAATAAACACAAAACACAGACCTGGAGAAGTTAACAAAGTTTCTCAAGTTTTCATTATTAACTAGAAAATGGAGAATGCAGGTCTGATTTTAGTTCTTTATAACTGCATTGTTCATCTTCTTTCCTGGTTACTTCTTACAGGAAAATAAATTTTAAAAAAATTATAGGTAGGTTAAATATGCATTCGACCTATGTTTATTTTTTTAAGATTTATTTGTTTATTTATTTATACAAGCACTGGTTACAGTCAGAAGCACGGGAGGGTGAGAGAATAGTGGGGAACAGAACAGGCGGACAGATGAAGTACACTGCTGAGGGGAGCAGAGGGTGTGGCAGGAGAGGTCTGCGCGCCATGTGGGACCCTTGACGGCAGCCGGGCATCGAACTGGCACTGCAGAGGCTGCGGGCAGCTTCGCAGCCCAGCGCTCAACCACTGCGCCACCAGGGGAGCCCCCTGACCTATGTTGAAACAGAATTAACTTTCATAAAAGTTTAATGCCTCAAACAACAGTGAGGGAGGATATTTATGAGGGTTTTCAACCAGAGAACCACTCGAAAGATGCAGGAATGCCTGATTTTGCTTCTTGATTAAACTGGCATCTAGATCTACAGCATATTCAGATTGGGGTAGAAGAAATCAAGGAGTAGCCATGAGATGAGATGGAAATGGCATCAAACTTCTATCATTTTACTACCTTTGAAAACAATGTATTTTGCCAGAAATTGTTATGAGAAAACATTATTTTTGTTTATTCATTTACTCATATATTTATTCATTCTTTATTCTCTTTGTAAGCTTATAGTAACATAAATTTGTAAAGTTCTTTATACTGGTTTCCCCCACTTTTCTGAAGCAACACATTCTCATAAAACCTTTTATTAAGCTCAAATGGCATAAATCAAATAGCATTTATCACTAGTAGATATGAAACATTGAACCACTTTTGCGCATTCCCAGGCCAAAAAAAAAAAAATAGCAAATCATGCCATAACATGTAAGATTTAAAGATACACTAACATATATAAAATGCAGGAATGTTATGATATGTACATATGTACATATGTATATGTGTATACAGCATACATAAAGCAGTTCATAGGAAAGAGCTTGGTGGTGCCATTGTCACTGCTTGAGGTGTGAATTTCCTTTAGAGTGACTGTTACAACATAAATATACTGATGCTACTTTTGCTTTCTGTCATTAAATGAAAATCCTATTCCAATTCATTTTTTATAGTCATTTTAGATGAAGGATGAAATACACAAGTTGATATGTTGCACGGGGAGAAACTAAATATTGAATGGTTTGATTTTTCTGTAATTAAAGGGAAGTCTGAATGCAGAATGTAGAAATAGACATATGGGCTGTGCCTATCTTTTTACTTGGTTAGAGTCTAGCTGGTCATGGTTGGAAGTAGGTCTTCACCTCACACTCCCATTAAAATTCATTTACTGTTCTCTTTGCTTTGGAATTGTCTGTATCCATGGCAGATAATTCCTCTTATTTATATTTCTTGGGAGTTTCTTAATTTATATTTCTTGAGAGTGAAGTTTGTTTCTTTTATTCATTATTTTTTGTAATTACTAACATAAATCTTTTATAAAAGCAAATTGGTGTAAAACAAACTTTCAAAAAGTATAGAATATCTACATTGTTGATTTTAAAATATATTTTCTTATGACTTTTTTTGCAGTTTTTTCAATATTATTTTGTCTAGATAATGCAACAGTCAATCTTTGAACAGTAATGTCATTGAGCCAGTCTTTTTTTTTTTATGTTTCTATTTATTTATTTATTTGTTTGTTTGTTTTGTTTATACATGCACTAGGTATAGTCAGAAGCACTGGAGGGTGAGAGAATTCACCAGAGACAGAGCGGGGAGCAGAGCAGGCAAAAGGACCAAAGTACACTGCTGAGGGAAGCAGCGGGCGGCAGGAGAGGTCTGCGCGCCATGTGGGACCCTCCTCCGGTGGCCGGGGAGCAGCCGGGGATCGAACCGGTGCCGCAGAGGCCGCGGGCAGCTTCCCAACCCAGCGCTCAACCGCTGCGCCACCGGGGAGGCCCCATTGAGCCAGTCTTGATCTTGGAATCCTAAATAGGTTATGTTAGATGTTCATATGCAGAAAATATTTTCTATTCCTTCATTTTTCACCGTAGGATTAATATGCACATAAAACGAATACTGAGTGACTGATGAACTGCATAAAGTTAGAGACTATTGAATAAAAATATAAAAACTTAAACAAAATGAGGCACCATCCAGTTTTTTCATGAGAGAGCTCCTAATATGAACCTATTGTGAACATTATAAAAAGTTAAACAATTATATTTTGAAGCTTATATCTTCATTTATTATTAACAATTCCAACCAAGGAACATAGTCAACTAAATCTAAATCCTAGGACACCTAAATACAAAGCCCTTATTTTTACTTAACACAAGTCTGAAGAAATGTTCTAATGATTTCAAGGAATGTGCATAAGACATAAAATCCTGATTTAATAAATATGTACTGCATGTTACTTAAACTGACTGCTTATGTTCCTACTAAACAAATATATAAATTTTAATGAAATTCTTATGAGGGAAGTATACCATGTTTAAATTATATCAACTTTTTGAAATTTCAAGACTGGTTTCATTTGTGCTTAGTTTATTTCATTGAAAATTGTTATGATTTTAAAAATATTATGGGAAATACATTTTTTTTCTTATAAATGTTGTTTTGTGGGCCTCCCCTGGTGGTGCAGGTGGTTGAGCTCAGTGCTGTGAAGCTGTCCACAGCCTCTGCAGTGCTGGTTAGACCCCAGCCGGCAGGTGAGGGTCCACATGGCACAGCAGACCTCTCCTGTTGTGCCCGCTGCTCCCCTTAGCAGTGTATTTCGTCAGTCTGCCTGTTCTATTCCCTGCTCTGTCTCTGGTGAATCCTCTCACCCTCGGCACATCTGGCCTATACCCCGGTTCTTGTATAAATAAATAAATAAATCTTTAAAAAATTAAACAAATAAAATTTCAAAGGAAAATGCACCATAGACTATCTCCATTAAAAAAAAAATGTTTTGTGTTTGATAGGAAGAATATGACATTAGTTGAAGAAAACAAATATTTGAACTTTTATTCAATAGTATATTATTTTCACTCAAGTAATTCTGTTTCAACCTCTTTGTTTTTCTTTTCTTTCAACAGGCTGAAATAAATAACCCAACTGATCCTTTTACTAGCTGTAGTACAAAAGTTTCATCAAATGAAGGGGATGAAGTTTTCTTCAAATACATAGGATGGAGAGTTGCCAATGCACTTTCCAAACTGTTCTTCCCCTTCACTGATGCTCATGTTCCTTCCATGAAAAAAACTTTGATAAAGCAAGATCAAATTAGACATCTAAATAAAAAGTTGGACTTGACAAAGAAGAGAGTTCTACATTTCACTGTAAGGTAAAATAAAACTAACTTTTTTGAATAGTCCTGTTATACTTTATATTTCAAAACCACATTATTTAACTCAGTGTATCCTTTACAATTCAAATCTTAGCTCCATTATTTTCTAGGTATTCTATCATGAGCAAACAGTGTCTTCTCAGAAACTATTAATATTTTCTATATCTAAAATAAGTATTATTATATATAACATAGATCAATGTTTTAATAAAGTGAAAACCTACCTCCAATTAATGACCTTTATTTTTATTTATTTATTTTTAAAGATTTATTTACTTATTTATACAAGCACCGGGTACAGTCAGAAGCGTGGGAGGGTGAGAGAATTCACTAGAGCCAGAGGGGAGCAGAGCAGGCAGAAGGACCGAAGTACACTGCTGAGGGGAGCAGCGGGCGGCTGGAGAGGTCTGCACGCCATGTGGGACCCTCCTCCGGTGGCCGGGAGCAGCCGGGGATTGAACAGGAGCTGGAGAGGCTGTGGGCAGCTTCGCAACCCAGCGCTCAACCGCTGCGCCACCGGGGAGGCCCAAATTAATGACCTTTATTTATTATGTTACTTCTACTAATCCATATCATTATTGTTTCCAGGATTTATAAAAAAATATATCTAAATTATGTTTTTAATTTCTTGCCATTTTTGCATGAAATGTATATATTTAGCAGACTAAATATATTTGTAATCTTCATTTTTTTTTCTTTTTTCTTAGTTAAGGTAGCACTGGTGTACAACATTGTATAGGTTTCAATAGTAAAATTTCATACTTCAACAGAGTGCTTACCTACCACACCCATCACAAAAACATTTAACTTTTCAGAAAATTCAATTCTTATGTTTGAGACCCCTGGTATTTTTCAAGTATCAATCCTGAATGTCACTATCTTAAATATTTTTCTTCTTTTAAAATTTTAGAAAATCACATTTTATTTTGATATTATTTCATCTCATTTTTCAGAATTTAGTCATTAAACAAAGTAGTGTCTTACTATTTATCTTCTGTTTTTTTTGCTTGTCCTCCCTTTAACACATTCTTATTGAGTGTAATTGTATTTTCTCCTTTTTCATTCTTCTTAATTTTATGTTGCTTCTATTTTATGCTTTTTTTTTTTTTAAGATTTATTTATTTATTTATACCAGCACTGGGTACAGTCAGATGTGCGGGAGGGTAAGAGAATTCACCAGAGCCAGAGCGGGGAACAGAACAGGCAGAGTGACGAAATACACTGCTGAAGGGAGCAGCAGGTGGGGCAGAAGAGGTCTGTGGGACCCATGTGGGACCCATGTGGGACCCTCGCTGGCAGCCGGGGATCGAACCGGCGCTGCAGAGGCTGTGGGCAGCTTAGCAGCCCAGCGCTCAACCGCTGTGCCACCAGGGGAGGTCCTATTTTATGTTATTTTTTAATGAACCAGTTTTTGTTTTTTCTTATTTGAAAAATTTTTTTTTAAAGAATTATTTATTTATACAAACACTGGGTACAGTCAGAAGCGCGGGAGGGTAAGAGAATTCACCAGAGCCAGAGCGGGGAGCAGAGCAGGCAGAAGGACAGAAGTACACTGCTGAGGGGAGCAGCGGGCAGCAGGAGAGGTCTGCGCGCCATGTGGGACCCTCCTCTGGTGGCTGGGGAGCAGCTGCGGGTCAAACCGGTGCTGCAGAGGCTGCGGGCAGCTTCGCAATCCAGCACTCAACTGCTGCGCCACCTGGGAGGCCCTAAGAACCATTTTTTGTATTCAAATGTATGCATTTTTGTTCTTATGTTTATGATCTATTATTTTTTCTTCCTTTTTTTAAAGATTTTTTTTTTTTTTAATGCATAGAAGAGCTGGGTACAGGCCAGAGATGTGGGGGATGCGAGGATTCACCAGAGACAGAGTGGGGAACAGAATAGGCAGACTGACTGAAACACACTGCTGAGAGGAGCAGCAGGTGAGACAGGAGAGGTCTGCTGCACCAAGTGGTTTCTCCCTGGCCGTCCGGGGATTGAACTTGTGCTGCAGAGGCTGCTGATTGCTTCATAGAGTGGTGCTTAACCCCTTGTGCCACCAGGGAGACCTTTCCTTCCTTTTGAAACAGGGGCAGAGTAGGCCACAAAAGAGGCCACAGGGTCTCTGAGACCAGAGAGCCACCTAAAAGCCCCAAAAGGCCAAAAACCAAAAGCTATAGACTAAAAAAGGACAGTGCCTGATAAGAGCACAGGTCACTGTCTGTAGGTTCTCACCAGCGTGCACAATTGTGAGAGACCTCAGGCCCCAGTAACAACAACCATGGGGTTTATTTACAAACAGGGAAAACAAAGAGCTTACTGTACCAAGTGGCGGCTGTCTCACCCAGATAACAACAAAGAGCTTTTAGAGGCACCAGGCCCAGGGCCTTTGGTGCTCCTTTCACGCAACATCAGAGACAGGACTGAGGCCCAGTCCATGACAGAGTCCTTCGGCTTCTCTTTCCTCATCAGAGGGAGGCTGCTGGATGCTTCTTTTCCTCTTTCTTTGGAGGCTGGAACCATCTTCTTTTCTTCAGGGGCAGGCGTCGTCTCTTCTTCTTCTTCAGGGGCCCTGGTCTTCTTTTTTCGTGCGGGGGCTGTCATCTCCTTTCCTTCAGGTGCCTCTCTCGTTCTCTTCTCTCTTCGGTGCTTCCGATCGTCGTGTCCTTTGCTACGGGCTCTGCTTGTCTTCTCCTTTTCTTGGGCTCCGGGTCATCTCCTTTTTCTGGGGGCCCTCTTAGTTCCCTCCAGCCCTGCTTATATCCTCTTTCACCCACAAGTCTGATTGGACCATTTAGCACCAATCAGCTCACAGCTCATATTTCTTTGGTCCATTACAAACGGCAGTTACTGAACTCTGAGGAGCAACTGCCACAACTGACTTCTTGTATGGCAGCAGGGTCTAAAGGACGTCACTTTGTTGTTGCTGAGTCTCATCAGCTCTTTGCAGATTTTTGTGATCAGTCCTTTATCATTAGTGTTGGGTGCAAAAATGTTCTCCCAGTTGGTGGGGTTTCTCTTTGTTTTTGTTATTGTCTCTTTTGCTGTGCAGAAGCTCTTTAATTTGATGTAGTCCCAGCTGTTTATCTTTCTCTTCACTATCACTGCTTTGGGTGATGTGTCTGTAAAGATGTCTTTGATGTGCAAATCCCGTAGTGTTTCGCCTATATTTCCTTCTATGTATTTTATGGTTTCAGGTCTTATGTCTAGTTCTTTAATCCATTTCTGGACCTACTAAACATAGAGCTTCCATATGATCCAGCAATTCCACTCCTAGGTATTTACCCAAAGGACACAGAAACATCAATTCCAAAGAGCACCTGCACTCCTATGTTTATAGCAGCACTGTTTACAATAGCTAAGCTTTGGAAACAACCCAAATGCCCAAAAATAGATGACTGGATCAAGAAGATGTGGTACATATATACCATGGAATATTACTCAGCATTCAAAAAAGATAAACACATGCAATTTGCAGCAACATGGATGGCACTGGAAGGGATCATGCTCAGCGAAATAAGCCAAAAAGAAAAAGAAAAATACCGGATGGTCTCACTCATAGCAGGAATCTAGAAAACTTAAATAAGGGACCAGGAAAATGAATATAAGAAAGTGAAAATCAAAATCAACAAAAAACTATGAACCAGAGACACTTTTTGGGGGTGGGGGGCGGGAGGGGAAGGATTGGGGTCAGAATGGGGCATTTGCAATTGTATGGGGGAATATAAAAATAAAATTTAATATTTAAAAAAAAAAATAAAGGACGTCACTGTCCTGCTGGCTTCCACCACTAAGATGGCTGGGTTCTGGTAACACTCTGATTTATCTTGCGGTTTATTTTTTAATTTCTTGAAGATGATGTTAAATCATTGGAAAAAATTCCTTACTGGTGTTTGTCTTAATCACAGCTTGAGTTCCAAAATTATGAAACTATGCTGACTGAAGGCAGATTTTATTTCAAGTGTAACAATTGTGTGGTCCAAAGGAAAAAACAGGTTTTTCCTTTGTGTATATAAATTCAGAAAAATAGATGCATCTTGAGTTGAGTTTTGACATTATCTTAATCTCTTTTTTCAAGAATTATAAGATCAGTGAGCTAGATATGTAGATTTAATATCACACAGCTTGCATTTTAGTAGTCTCATGTGCAGAAGTAAATATTATAAAATTATATTTCAGCTTATACTATTAATATTTTAAAACTACATTATGATCAAGGTACAATGAAAATGCAAGTGTGTTAATTATCACGGGCATTGCGATTTACTTTAAAATCACCAAATGCATTCTGTACATTCTCAAGAATCATGGACATGGGAGAAAAAAATCAGTTTAGGACCATATGATGTTGAACAAGTGTACTTCAGTTTTTTATATTCATCTTCAATATATTCTTATATTCACATCAGTATGAAAAGACTCATAATTGAGACTCAGTATGAGTGTTATTAGAGAACCAACTGGGAAAATGATAAATAGGTGTTAAAAAAGCAGATGGTGGTGAATGCTACCTGTTGGAGCACAGAAAGGATAGACAGAGCTAGAAAGGAGACATAATGGGACTACTTAAATTAGCAAAACACAGAAATAAAAGTTTTAAGCAGACAAAGATGGAGATGACAAAAAAGAGAGAAGATAAAAATAAAGGGAGCAACATATTGAAATGAAAGGTGAAAATGGAAGGATATACACAAGGCTTTAGAAGAGAATAAGAGAATAAGCAAAGTCAGAGAAGAATAAGACAATGAAGGAGTGGGGTGAGATAAAGACTCTGAGAATATTGTAGTTTTTAAAGGATTAGTAAATGAAACATGTCAGTTAAGTCTTAGTTCATTACATAAAAGACAATCATTCATTACGTACCTTTGGAGAAATGTTATATCCATACTCATTTCTTTCACAGCCCATGATAGGTCTCAGAGAGTCACTGGCCTAAAACTACAGTACAGCTCCCTGAGCATCCTCCTAGTGGGTGCCTCAGTTGTTACTGCCTCCAGGGCAGATTTCCCATTGCTCCG